CTCTCTCTCTCTCTCTCTCTCACTCTCTCTCTCTCTCTCTCTCTCTCACACACACACACACAGAGACACGGCAATCACTCCACTTAAAGGTGCTCTCTTTCTCACTGTCCCAGCAACTTTTTCAGAGCACAACGAGTGAATGAGAGATTGTACACTTGTGGGCTGATCTCCTTTGTTTTCAAACTTTGAGGCTTGAATCTGCTTGAAATCAAGAAAACCTCGCAGCCCACTTAATTTTCAGGTATGATAACCGCGACGCTTAAACAGATCATGTGCAGAAGCTATTGTGATTCGCTTCCTTTTCCTTTTGTAGTCATGTTTATGTTTTATGAACCCATTTGCTTCATTATCTGGTTTTTGTTGCTCAGCTGTTAGTAGTATTTGGGATTTGGTCCCTTTTTTTTTTATTTATTTATTTTTTTTTTTTATCTAGTTCATGTGCATACGGTAAAGCTTCTCTTTTTATGTTTTATGCATAACTTGTACATGAAGTTTCAAGATCTTTTTGGTGGCGAATGTTTTGGTTTGCACATGTTTGCGTGATAGATCTGGGCATCAATAGTGTGAATCCCACATCGGATTTGTAGCTAAAAGTGTTGTATTATGTCATTATTTGTCACTGATGGTAGATATTTCCTTGTGTTTTCTTGAGATCACTACTCTCAAATGTTTTCAGCTCTAATTCAAAAGTTTGTTGGGAGACATTCCCCATTGTATCAAACCCTTTATTCTGCATAAAATATTATGATTCTTTATGTTTTCTCATCACTCAGTTCTGTTCCGAGCTGTTCTGTGATGCTAAGATACCAACATTCATTGCAGTAGGAGGGAGTTCTTGGATGCAACTCACAGCATCATAATGGCACAAAAATTTAACTCCCCGGGCAGTAAAGGCCGGTCCCGAGTGTCCTTATTTGTCGTAATTGCTCTCTGCTGTTTCTTTTACTTGCTGGGAGTATGGCAGAAGAGTGGTTTTGGGAAGGGAGATAGTTACGCAATAGAACTGAATAAACAACAGCAGCAAGCAGAATGCATTATCCCACCTTCTCTCGACTTTGAAAGCCATCACAATTATGTGGCGCCAATGGAGTCCTCTGAGTCCAAGCCCAAAATGATTGAGCCGTGTGATGCTCGATATACCGACTACACTCCTTGCCATGAGCAGGATCGAGCCATGACTTTCCCAAGAGAAAACATGGTGTACAGAGAAAGGCATTGTCCACCAGAAGAAGAAAAATTGCGTTGCTTGATCCCGGCACCAAAAGGCTACACGACCCCTTTTCCTTGGCCAAAGAGCCGAGACTATGTGTACTATTCGAACGTTCCTTTCAAGAGCTTGACTGTGGAGAAAGCCAACCAGAATTGGGTACAGTTTCAAGGGAACGTATTCAAATTTCCAGGAGGCGGGACAATGTTTCCTCAAGGTGCTGATGCATATATTAACGAGCTTGCACAAGTTATACCTATTGCTGATGGCTCAGTTCGTACGGCTCTTGATACTGGCTGTGGCGTATGTTTTCACTCTCTCTATTTTATATATTATATTATATTTCATCCACTACTGCATTTTTTTCCTTTTTTTTTTTACTTGTCTACGCCTAACGAGATTGTTGCTCTAACTACTGCAAAATAAGGTTGCTAGCTGGGGTGCTTATATGCTGAAGAGGAATGTGCTTACTATGTCATTTGCACCGAGAGATAATCACGAGGCGCAGGTGCAATTTGCATTGGAGAGAGGAGTGCCAGCTGTTATTGGGGTTCTTGGGTCGATAAAACTTCCGTATCCGTCCAGATCATTTGATATGGCCCAATGCTCAAGGTGCTTGATACCATGGACGGATAATGGTATACTTCTATCTATACAACTCTTTTTTTCTTTTTTCTTTTTTTTTTTCGTTAAATACTGCATTTTTCTTCTTATACTGTATTGTAATACTTATTAATCTTGGGTGAAAAGTAATGATGCTTAAGCACATTCGTCCTTTACGATACTTAAAGTGTAACAACTTCATCCTCTGATATGGCGTATTTTTTGCAGTTTGTGTAACTGGTGCTATAATATGGTTTTCTGGGTGTAGTTTGATGTGACGTAGACTCTTGCATGATTGTTGCGGATTTGCGTATTTTTTGTTGGTTAGCTTTAATGTCTAGTGGTGTGACATTATTACACTATGATTTTAATTGAGTGTTTAGGTATGAAAATGATTTCCATGTTATGTAATGGAAAAATTCTCGATGCAGTATAGAAATAATTAATAGTTAGGGAAAGTCGACACCAGAATAAGCACATGGTGAGAAGTAATACTGTAATGATGTTTGAAGATTCTCAATGCAGTATGATTTTCTTCTTATACTGTACGCGTAATACTTATTAATCTTTGGCGAAAAGTAAGGATGTTTAGCACAATCTTCCTTTACGACACTTAAGTGTAACAATTCCTTATTTTCTTGTTTATAAAAAGTACAGACTAAGGACTGAAGTGAATCTACCTACTGAGTGTTAGCATTTTGTATTACGTGTCAGTCAATCTAGTAAATCTACTGAATGAAGGCTTGTGTTATTTTTCCATATTATAGCTGGCATGTACTTAATGGAAGTTGATCGAGTCCTTAGACCTGGTGGATACTGGGTCTTATCTGGTCCCCCAATCAATTGGAAGACATACTTCCGTACATGGAAAAGGACAAAAGAAGACCTGAAAGCCGAGCAGTCAAGGATTGAAGACTTGGCCGAATCTCTTTGCTGGGAGAAGAAGTACGAGAAAGGAGATGTTGCCATCTGGCGGAAAAAAATAAATTCCAAGTCTTGCAAAAGGAAATCTGCCAACTATTGTCAATCTTCAGATGCTGATGATGTTTGGTGAGTAAAAAAAAATAATAGATGCCTAGGATATTTTTTTTTCTCAATTTTCTCAATTTTAATTCTAAATTTTCGATTTCGAAACTTGAAAGGTACGAGAAAATGGAGACATGCGTAACTCCTTTTCCCGATGTGAAGAGTGTGAATGAAGTAGCTGGTGGGGAGTTGAAGAAGTTTCCAGCTCGGCTCATGGCTGTCCCACCTCGAGTTCTCAATGGTGATGTTCATGGGGTGACTTCCGAGTCCTATGCGGAGGATAACAAGCTTTGGAAAAAGCACGTCAATGCTTACAAAAAATCTGTCGGGTTACTTGGCACCTCGAGATTTAGGAATATTATGGACATGAATGCAGGGCTCGGAGGTTTTGCTGCTGCTTTGGAATCATCGAAATTGTGGGTGATGAATGTTGTTCCAACTATTGCCCCAAACACGTTAGGTGTCATTTACGAGCGAGGCTTGATTGGGATATATCACGACTGGTACCTCCTCAAATTTTCACATTAGCCAAAAGAAAAAGAAAAAAAACACTATTGTTGTTACTAGATTTGAAGTTGAATGAATGATCTTTCTTATTATTATTATTATTTTATTTTCAGGTGTGAAGGTTTCTCTACTTATCCAAGGACATATGACCTCATTCACGCTAATGAATTATTCAACTTATATAAGGACAAGTAAGCCACATTTTACTTTATGTGAACTTCATAGACTATAAGCGACCTCGAAAGTTGCATTGTGGCCATCAATAATCTACTTTCCAAATAAAAGTGTGATATTGTAGAATAACCGAGTAAAGATTTGACGCATCGTAGAAATATCTTACCAAATTGGCCCGGATCCATAAGGGCGTGATTGGATATGGATCATAGCCGATTTTAATTGGTTTTGACTGATTAAGTTATTTTGTTTCAATCACCACACTTAAAATCCAACTCTACTCAACCCTTCTACTTCTATAAATATAATTAAATAATACCAATCAATCATCCTCACGCATCACATCAACTTTAATTCAATATTCATCCACTCACATAATTTTAACTGCCTATTACTTCCAATAATCTCTCATTACGTCACATCATTTTTAATCGTTATAATGTAAATATTATTTAATTATAAACTCAAAATCATTTACTCAATCAACTTTATTCAAAATGACTCATCTTAACCGACCAAATTGGACCATAACAGGTTGGATTCATATCCAATCACGCCTTAAGTTTTCCATTGTAGTTTCATTTCAAATCTTACCTATCAAATCATTAAATATGATGAGTTATTTGTGTGGCTCAGTTCATCTTCACACTCTCACTCTCGACTCAATTGTTTTCATCCCGGTTAAAATAGTTGACATAGGATCGACTTATAGTATTATACTAAGCTCTTAAAACACGTGCGGTATCATACAGGTGTCAATTTGAAGACATTCTCTTGGAAATGGATCGCATTTTGAGGCCTGAAGGGACCGTGATATTTCGGGATGAAGTTGACGTGTTGAATAAGGTGAAGAAAATTGCAGGCGGCATGAGGTGGGATTTGAAGATGGTGGATCACGAGGATGGCCCGCTCGTCCCGTACAAGATTCTTGTTGCGGTCAAGCAGTATTGGGTTGCTTCATCAAACAGCACGTCCACCGATCACTGAACAGTTGATCGTGCAGTGGAATTTGTATCATTATTAATTTGCTTTCCAGAGAGAAAAAAAAAAAAACAAAAAAAACAAAGTGTCTTTTTTAAGGAAAGGAAAACGATTTTTGTGAGTCTATTTATGCTGATTCTCTTTTGTTTGTGTCTGATAAGTGTACCTAGATTTATTGCATTTTTGGATTTGATGGAAAAAACAAAAACAAATAAAAAGAACAATGTACTATCACATTGGACTGATAGTTAATAACTTTAGTCGGAAGTTATTGTGAGATGCTCGACTCGGTTGGCATTGTTATAGAGATTATTATTATTAGCAGCAGCAGGTTTTTGGAACAAAATACGAGCCATCTCCAGGTCACGGGATGGAGCTACGATTGAGTGTATACAGTGTCCTCAGTGTATAGATAGGTCGACTGACCTTCGATTTGAACCAGAGTGTGTACTACCAGAGTGTGTACTGAGTACACACACGTGCGAATATGTGGTATTTGAAGAACCATACAGAAAAAGAAATGTGTTGCTTGTCTGTTGTAGATACACAAATAATTTCGATGGATCAAATGAATTCCCAACGCCAACACAAGGATAATTAGAGAACCATACAGAAAAAGAAATGTGAAGACTTTAAATTAACAGGACAAACACACAAGATACAAGTGAAGTAAAAAAAAAAAAAAAAAAAAGATTGTTATACTCTAAGATACAAAGCCTTCAAACCACATAACTGCAGATAACTACAATCAAATGAACACAAACACACAAATTACATAATGATGCAGCGACTTGTTTCCTCAGATGGCTGCGCAGCAGTTTGCTGGTATCTGTTTGACTCAGATGGGTTGTACGTAAATTCCGAAGTATCCAGTCCGTACTGTTGCACAAACACGTTGAATTTAGCAACTGCAAGCAGTTTTATTATCTAGTACTATATTGTGTCAACAAAATCAGTAAAACTAGAAAACTCATAACAAAAATAATTAGACAACATTCTCAAAACCTCTTTGTACTCAGAGTAAATAACGGTGTTTGTAAGTAGTAATAGTCTTTTGTATTAATGATTCTACTTAGATATAATAATATGAGATCTTAATTAATACATATGTATCTACAACAGACAAGTCACCTGCTGAAGTTGAATCAGAACTGAAAATTAAACACGGCATATTGTTCATTTTTGTGCCAAGTTTTCTGAGTTGCAACTTTTCTGCACGAGCTTAGAATTTGAAGGAATATTCAACTTTGGGGTTATAAGCTTTCTGTTAATCAATTGTCAAATAGCTTGCGATTTTGCAAGTGGCAGCAAAGACATCTCATAAAAAATGCATCTAATCAGCCGAACAGATGAATGTGTTTGCTTTGTACAACATAATCTCAGCCAAACACCGTTATAATCAGTACAGTTGTCAAAACTGTCATACTTCAACCTGATATTGTAAAAAAGTTCAACCAACTGAAGAATTTCCAAAAGTAAGAGAGAAAGGAAACGAAGATCTATACTCTTTTAAATGCTTTATTTATGCTTCTTGAATCTCCTGCATCAGACTAGCTAAACTCTATGCATGCTTACTTGTAATCACATTTAACAGTATATGAGAATTACCTATCTGCTAGCACTAGGAAATCATTCAACAAGTATCGACTTAGAATTTTGGAAACACAGCTTTTCAGTAAAGGATAAAAGCTAAAACTGCATTTGGCATGGTAAAAAAAAAAAATGATTTTGAGAGTTTTCACCTTTTCCCTCATTCGTGTACTCCAAGCGTCATTCCTACTCGGACGGTGATCAAGAGAACCAGAAACAGGTACACCTGTGGCTGGAGCAGCTGCCCTATTATTTATCAAAGGCTGTCGAATTTGTTGTCTCGGCCCACCTATATATTCTTCATCACTATCATAGTCTGCTGGTGCATTTGCAGCCCTTACAACAAGTGCTAACAAAAATATAAGGCCCTGCAGTTTTGATTATTCATTAGTACAAGCTCTAGGTGCACATAAGCTGATAATAGTGTAGTTAGGTGTCATTGGTATAGAAACTGCTTGCATAGATCACGTAACTTTGCAACGACCAAAAATTGGTGTCTAAAAGCAATGTTCAAAGCACTTTATAACTTGTAGATGATATACAACTAAAACATTTATCTTTCGAGAGAAAGACATTAATTGCATAAAGATTTTCATGCATATCTGGTTCACAAATGTGAACATAGCTATGAGAAACATCCCAGTAGCCTTACCTCTAGTATGACAACTCCCAAAGCCACCCACTGGATAATTTTCCAGTGCCCCTCCACAAATTCATATATCATATCAAAATTTCCAGTTTTGTCGGTTGGAATTTCCTGCCCATTGAATTTCATTTTTATCAAATTCACTAATGATACTGAGTGTGAAACGGAAGTTTTAAATGGAGGTCAACTAACCTGTTTCCAGCTCTTGTCAAAGAATATAAAGGCAGCCAACCCCAGCTCTATTAGTATTAACAAGAACACCAGTACTGAGAACTTTAACAATCTTAAGGAACCCAACAACCATTGATAAGAAAAAAATATCCACACAATTTCCATAACCTTAAAAGTGTATAAAAGGGAGAAGTAACAAAGACAAGTTCAAACAACAAACTGTTTGCTCGTAATTTTCCAATCAACTCCAAGCATTTTAAAACAACAGTGACTCATATTGTCAAAGCTGTGATAACTTCAACTAAACAAGCAACAACAGGAATTCAACTATCAATCCGATTTATAAAAAAAAATATGGAAATGTTATAGAGAAGCATGCAAGTAAGACAATAAGAAATATGAAGGATACGCAAGTCAAGCAGCACCCATTACGTGTAGAAGTTCCAATGCAACCACAACAAGCAATAAACAGAACAACTGCACCGGTGCCAATGAAAAGATATATAAACCTGCAAACAGTGCATGGGAAGCCAGTATAAAATATTATGAACACAATAAAACCTACGAGACATGTATATGGAGATTCATTAATTCAGGAAGCCATTACATTCGTGAAAGCATAACACCGGCCAAATGTCAGCAAGGGTTTCTTTTGACATATAGATTTCTTAGTTCCAACCAAAATTTGCATCAATATATAAACATATGTCACTAATAGCTGATAATATATAGATGACAAAGTAATACGATTCATATGGGCTCAGATAGAAACAAATCATATTCCTGGGTTTGGATTAAGACTACAAGTGAAAGAAAGAAAAGTTAGTCAACCTAATTATCGCCAGCTATAAATTAGCTTTTAACATAACTAGAACCATATTTGTCGAAATAAAAAACCAGAATTGTGTTTGCATAGACATAGCAAACTTTTGTTTTCGATTTTTAATGGAAAAGTTAGTAGTAATAAGTAATAACAACAGCACTTTCCGGGTAGTATATCATGGAACAATGGAATACCACAAATTCAAGAAATTGACAAATATTCCAAAAAGAACATAGGAAAATCAAACAGTTAAGTTGTTCCAACCCGAGTTATGAGATACTGCATTACCCACATGAATAATCGATAAGTTAAACAAAACTAACAAAAAATGAAAGGTAAAATTACAGACAGCTGTAGATGGAAAAAGATCATGTATTAAAAAGCATATTTCATGCATGTAACAAGAATAGCAGCTTTGGCACCTATACATACACTACATAACACAGGTCGTGAACCAATGACCATACCATGCCTTCGGAAGTTTGTCAAAAATACTGTCGCCCAGAGTCACAGCTAACAGCATGGGCCGACCAAGCTGCACAATCTCTTCACTCGAAGGGGGAAGAGGAGCATCACCACCACCAGAAGAAGAATCAGCACTCTTATACTCCACGAATAGGTATATCCCATAACCAATCATAGCCAAGCCCACAAGAATTAACAAGAAGTTCAGAAGCTTCAACAAGCATTCCCAGAACCCCTTACAAGCCATTCTCCACAAGAATCTATGTCACCTATAGATCTTTTATCAACTCAATCCCGTCTTTCCTGCAAAGGTAACTACCATAAATTACATCCCCCCTAAACAATAGAAACTCAATCGAAATGCATAAACTTGTACTAAATTGCCCATCTTAATTACATTCTTCGGCCAGTTTTTGATACAAATATACACGAGCCCATTTGAAACGAATAACCCACCAAGAACAGAAAGTTTCTTGTGCGTTTTCTTACCAATAATTTGAATTCAAGAGTGAGAAAATGCACTGAAGGTCAAAATCTATCTACGATTAAGAACATCAATAAAACAAAACAACGAGAAGAGAGAAGAGAAACTCAATCAAAGAATCTCCTTTTCTCAGATAACGGCACATGGGGTGCTTACAGAAGGGCGATTGCAGATCAAGATTCCGAGTAGAGGCCAAGGGCGAGGAGATGAGAACGACGATGTGAGCGGTGGTTCTAAAGGAATAAAAAGCTATGGCGTTTGTCAACACTTGCTAATTTTTATTTATTTATTTGAAGTTATATACACGCTATTGCCACTTTTTGCGATCGATAATAATTTTACTACTATCGTTTTGAAAAAAAAAAAAAAAATTAAAATTAAAAAAAAAAAAACCAAAATTTTATATTATTTTAATTTAAAATTTAATTTTTGTATCAGAAAGTTTTATAGTATTTGATTTCGAGACATTATGTTATACCAATTTAATCAATTAATGATGATAAAAGATATTTGTAATGATTGTAAATTTTTAAAGAAGGAAGATTGTGATAAGCTTGACGAGCCAACTTAAAATTTAGCGATTCTATGGATATGAAGTGCATGGATTGAGGGTTGGGCTCCTTTTTAGTAAAGAGCTGCGGGCCAATTTTAAGAAAAAATGTTTGAAATTTACAAAAAGCTTTGTTGGTTGGGAAATGAAATTAGCCGTTTTATGGGTATTATTAGTTTCCCACAAAATAGAACAGTTATAAGTAATGCCATTCTTTTTCAAAATTTGAACTTGTTATTTTATTTTCTTTTAATTTGTTTATGTTACAATTAAAAATTGAATTGAATATATGTAATTATGTTAGTATTTTTCTAATACATATCTAGATCATGTTACATTTTTAATTAATTCAGAAGTAATTATTTTTACAAATATAGTGTTGCAAAATGTATGGATAGCTGAACTAGTATATTGAAGTTTCACTTCAACATCTCGCCTTAGGAGGGATTCGACTCTGCAGTCACCAAGTTTTTATCGTTGGATCAATACATATTCGTATGAGTACAGATGTGTCGATCCAACAGTGAAAAACTAGTACAACCACGGAAGAGTGAAAACTGAAAACTATACTCACCTAATAACCTTAGATGTATATCGACCACATTTTTTTTTTTTCATAGTTGAAGCTGAATTGTCTTATGTGAATGGACTTGTACTTTCTTTCATAGTCATCTTTCAATTAAATAAATGGATATGTCAAAAACATTTCATACCCATTGATGCTTCATATGTCTCCAGTGCACTCACCCTTCAATTAAATAAATGGATATGTCAAAAACCTTGGTCACCTGAGACACATATGAGAGTTACTCAACATATTGTAAGCTAACAGATTAGAAAAGTAGCTCTTGATACAACTTGAAAGGAAGGCTCTTACTTAATGAGAACCGACACCAAACAGTTCTCT